GGTCATTGGGGAAGAAAAGGACTGTCCCTGGGCTCTCCCCCTCTCTAAAGCAATTATTGGACTCTAGAGCTTGGCCAGTTTCCCACCGCTGGAGGATGTCAAAGAAAGCTCTAGACCCAAGCCTGCAGGCTGAGCTTTCCTGCTGAAAAAACAGGGTGTGGTGGTGGTAGTGGTGAAGGGATTGAGAACAAGGTTGGCCAGGCAGAAAAGCTGCACTCGTGTTCCCCTTACAAGCTGGACAGGAGAACAGCTGGGAGAGAAGGGCCTGCACCCTGAGCCTGCCCTCTGAGCCTGTCAGGCGCCCCTGAGCCTGTGTACTGGCTGCCCCACAGTGCTGTTAACTGGGGCTCAGACAGGGCACCGGAGCAGTGGGGTGGGCGGGCTCCGTAAATCACGCAGCCTGGGGGAGCTCTGGGCCTAAGCTGGAGCTGGCTGCACCTCACACCACAGCTCAGAGTCCAGCTGGGACCCTGACCCATGGGGCAGCGTTTCAGCCCAGTACCTAGGCCCAGGTGAGAGGGGGAGGCTCCCTGGGTGTCTTTGTGCAGAGATAATGCAGGCGCACAGCACTCTCCAGACAGGAAGCCGGAGCTGGCTGTAATGGGGGTGCTTGAGGCCTGGGGCTTTTTGAAACCTTGATGGCTGCTAAGCCAGAAGAAACTGTTTGAAAAGCAAGTAAAGTGGGAGCTTGATTTACTTTCTCAGTGAGGCTTGTTCCTTACAAAACACCAGAAGGAGAGGAGTGATTCAAATGACCAGCATCTCTACTGTGTCCCTCCTGGGAGGGTCTTTGAGTCGCTGGTGTAAGTGATAGGTGGTCTGTTCCCAATGTTAATGGGATACCTGTTTGGAAGGAAGTGGGCCTTCCTTACTCAGGAGATTTTTGTGTGTGTGTGTGTGTGTGTGTGTGTGTAGCTTATCAGAATAGATTTCTGTATCTTGGTGTGTGTGTGTGAGAGATAATTTCTGTGTCTTGGGGTGTTTGTGTGTGTGTGTGTGTGTGTGTGTGTGTAGCTTATCAGAATAGATTTCAGTATCTTGGTGTGTGTGTGTGAGATTGATTTCTGTGTCTTGGGGTGTGTTTGTGTGTTTCACACTGTCCTGGACCAGTCACTGAGCACCTATAGAAGCACACACAGACCTGACCCATCTTTGCTTAGACTGAAAAACTGAAATGCTCACCCCTAGCCAGGCCTTTTCTCTGGGCCTCTCACTGAAATCTTGGCCATTATCCCTTGAAGATATGTGTACAAGCCTTTATGTTCCAGCAGGCTGCGGGGACTGCCTCAGTTCTGATCCACCTTTCATTCCCCCATGGTGCATTGTTCTGAAGAAACACTACTTCTGCTGTCATTGAGCAGAAGCTGCATAGGGGCCCCCTGGGGCCAGGGGCCATGCTGCTCTCCAGGCAGAGGAGTGAATTTCCATAATCCTTGGTCAGTGTTGTCAGTCCAGGAAATTTTGTTCAGCTGTCTGCACTCTCCCTCTCCACTGGCTGTGTGATTTGGGAATATACCTGTGCTGCTTCCAGCCCCCAGGTGCATGCCCCCATTGAGTAAATGGCTCCCTAGGGATGGAGGAACTCCTACACGCATGAAGCAAGGAATGCTTGGCTTTTGCTCACCTTCCAGGAGGAGGAGGATGCAGGTGGGGTGGCCAAAAGGAATTCTCAGCAGCACCAGGGTCTGGGGCTGCTTCCCAGCGTTCCTTTGGAAACTGAAGCTCACAAGCTCCTCGCTGATTCTGGACTGACAGGCACAGGAGTAGGGAAATGACTTCTGGAGTTAGCCCCAGGTCTGAGCTGCTGCACTGGTCCAGGCCAGCAGCGGAGGCCTGAACCTACCAATTAAGCATTCAGGGAGCTTATTACCCTAGTGAGCAGGTCTGCTCACTCCCTTTCCCCAAGGCTTAGCAGAGACAAAAATGGCACTTGGGAGCCATTATTCTTCCAAAGTGTAGGTTTCCGGGGTGTAGCCAGAGGAAGGAGGGCACACCTCCATGAGGAGTGGGGGAGTCAGGGGAAGATTGAGCTAAGGAGCTTTGGCTGTGGGAGGAGCAGTGAGAGCACATGGAGCCCTGATTTGGGGAGGGCTGAGCTAAGACTGGGTCCAGGGCCTTGAAAGCCTCCCCCCTCCACCTGTCAACCTCCCTCTGAGCTCTTGTCCCCAAGACTTCCTTGTGGCCCCCCCCATCTGCAGGCCCCGCCCACCCTATCCTCAGTGTTTTCTTTCTGAGTCAGGACCCTATACCCAGAGTGAAAAAAAAGTCTCTGACATCCCCAGACCCTCACTGTCCAGCTCTACTTTTGTTGAAAATGGGCGACTGCCCCCTGCACATCCTAGCCTTGAAGGACTGTGCTGAGGCTCAGAGGATCTGCCCATCCCAGAGCTGAGGGCACAGGGCAGCCTCTGTGGGCAGGCCACAGTGGGGGAGGACCTCTGGGCAGGGCTGGGTGCAGGCCTGAGTTGCAAAGGTTTCAGGGCCTGGGAACTCCCAGGAGGCCCTGAGTGAGGCAGAGAGAGCCATGCAGGGCGGCTGGGCAGAGTGCTGGGGCGGCCAGGCTGCAGAGAGCCCATTCTTCACCAACCGCGGCTTCTCCAAGAGCCACATCATCTGGCCCCTAGCCTGGGACAGTCTGGGCTGCGGCGCTGTGCACGCACACGCGTGTGGGCGTGTGCCATGTGAGTGCGTGTGTGCACAACTGCGTGTGCCTGTGTGTTCAGCCCCACCCCGGGCTCATGTGGCAATGCCCCTCAGCTTGGCCCTGGCCTCCT